TGTCACGAGCTTTTCGACACGTTGCTAGTACTTTCGAACCAATATTCCTTTACCAAAAGATATGCCTGTCGATGCTCTACGAAAAGATGTAAAGTCTACTTTAGGCTCTCAAAAAAATAACCATGTAATATAAACAAAAAAGTAAAAAAAACAGCATATGAAATATAGCAAAAAACAATTGGTTTTATCTACTACAATGAGTTTCTATTCTTTTTAACCGGAATAATGGTATGTAAAAAGTGCAGGGCTTTTGGTAGAGAAGCTTCTGCCCTATCGATTGATATAATTTGATAATGGTTTTTATCAAGTTTTTTGTAATGAAAAACTTCAAAAACTATAGATTTTGACATAACGATATTTTCGGTTAAAATATTTCGATCGGTAAAGTACTAGAAAACGTTGCTCAAAAGTTGTAAAAATTTGCCTTTCTGACTAACTTTTTTTTTATTCTTTCGAACTGCTGAAGCCATTTCAAAATGTAAAATTTTTCGGTACCCAATTTGGGCGGTAGTTCCTGGAGTCTCTCTTAATCATTAAAATAAATGAATACTTCAGCCGAAAGTAATAATTCCTTCTGACGAGTCATCATTTGAACAACAAGTTCACAATCATTCTTTTTGAATGAAAATTTATATGAACCATATCCAGAACCATATGATTTGATTGTCAAAATCTTTTAAAAATATATATGCAGTTAGTTTTAAAAAGATAAGATTTTCTTACATCATTTTGTAATAAAATAATATTTTTATTTCCCAAGTAAAATAAGATGTAAATGATTAAATAAGAAAATTTATCTTCGATATAATGAGGATTCATCTCGAGAAGTGTTTTAAATGAAAAATGTTGTTGTTTATCAACAGATGAGATATGTAAATGTGCTATAATTTAGCGATTAATTGGTAATTGATGTATATTTATCTGAATATTTAAAAGCAAATAGGTTTACTCCTGTTGTAGCACAAGTAACAATCGATGAATTTATAGGATTCCATTGTACAGAAGATATTAAATTGGTTGCTGAATAACTTAAAAATCAAAGTTCGAGAATAAATAGAAGGAGCAAATTGTTTTTCTTACCTCAAATAAACATGATGAGTTATTCGATCAACAAAAACTAATTTCATATGACGATATGTAGTAATAAAAAAGCTTTTAGTTGGAGAATGTTTGATTAAATCAATATACTAAATACAAAATTATTTGTTCTTTTAAAATATTATTTTAACATAGCAACAAACTTCTTTAATTGTATTATCTTCATAAACTTTCTCTAATTTCCAATTGTTGGTTTCATTAAAAAAATCGAATTTATAACTGGAATTGCAAGCACCTAAATTTATAAATGAAATAAATATTCATTTTGATAAGAATAAAAATAGTTACATCTTCAAATGGATTCCAAGCAATTTTAACAAATGATTTAGCAGCACTAAATTAATTTTATTCTTTTATTTGAACAAAATCAATAAATTGATTTGACTTACTCGAGATCAATTGATTCTTCAATCACATATAACTCTTATTAATGTTTGTTGATTTACACTATAAACCCGTATAAAACCATCAATTGACGATGTTGCCTAAATGTATTCAAGTTTTTTTAAAATAAAACCAGGGGGGAAAGAGCAGATTTCAGGACTTCAAAACACTTCAACGATTCCAACCATAGAGACTTCAAATCTTTATAGGACCTCTAAAGACTTTAAAAGATTTCATTAGACTTCGACCATAGAACAAGGGAAAACAGTGGACACTTCAGCCATGAAGTCTTGAAGTCCGTTGCTTCTCCCTTGCCATACAAAAGAAGAAGAAAAGAGACTTCTAAAGACTCCATAAGACTTCAGAGTACTTCATCGAACTTCATGATTGAAGTCTCCTCTGTTTCCCCTAGAATAAAACATGAATTTATTACATTATCACGAAATTATTTTCATCATTAACATCAATTGCAAGCACAGCAGCTCGATATGGGTGTGGGTGTGTGGGAGTGTCGGTGTGAATGAATAATAGATCTACACCCACACCAATCCCCACATCCCGCTCACACCCACACCCCCGCCGTCTCACACCCTCTGCTTTTTGTGATTTGCTGCTTTAACTATTTACTATTTCAGTGAAATAAAAACTTTTTTTCCTCATAATGTGACTTGATAGTTAATTTTATACAATTATGAGAAAAAGATTAATAACAATAATGATTAATAATATTTGTACAAAAAAAAAAAAAACATCTTATTAGATTCATCATAATTGAAAATGGTTTTTGTCAGATTTATTTATTAAGACCACATTATAAGTCCACAACCATCATCTTCAATTGAATAATAAGGTTGTTTCTCACAAGATAACCGAACTATACGATGATATAATTGTTTTATTAATTTTATATGGTCCTTAAACACAGAATCAATGTCAAAGTCATACGATGAGGAATGTTTCCTTCGAAAGCAAAAGCCAAAATCGGTGAACACAGATGCTTTCTCTGCAATTTTCTGACAACTTCTGTCATCAATAGTTTTTGGCATGTCATACAGAAATATGCGTAATGAACTCAATCGTCGCATAGTTGAAAGTGAATGAAAAACCACTGGCCAATTTGGTGATATATAGTTAGGATAATAATAAAAAAGTAGAATACGAATAGAACGAATAGTTGTTGGAAATGAAGAAGAATAGTTCAGACAATTGATACTATTCACAAGAGTTATATTGCGAATAGCAGATAAATATATAGGAATATGTGTATTATAGTAGGACAAGTGCAATGTTTCAATACAATTGGATAATGCCATATAAGGTAAAGAGCATATAGGTAATGGCAACGTTTGACCTGATGTATCTAATGTACGAAGAGTTGATTGATGAATTGTCATCATTTTTTGAGGTATTTCAAACACTCGTGTTTTAGTGATCCATCTGTGTGGTAAATATTCATGATAAAATTCATCAAATGCCCATGGAAGAGTATACCACATATGATGATCATATTGACGTCCACGCTTCTATAAATATTAAAAATATATTAAGATAATTATTCGATCAAGGTTAAATTAATAAGAACAAAGATATAATCAAATAATTACTCACAAAAGGATCTATATAAATCTCCCATTGTGATCTGTCACGCCAGTAATTGACAACAAATGTTGCACCGACTATTTCTCGTGGACGAAAACGATTACCACGTGGTATATATTGTGTCACTTCTACGTATCGAGGACAATTAATGAGACTGAAGGCAAAATGAACATCAACGTGACGATGATCAGTGAAAAGTGATGATGAACTAATACAATTTATATCATTAATATCAATAAAAATGGACACATTGGCACGTCGAAGAACAGGCATTACATTGGATGATGTCAGCATTTCGAAAAATACCCATTCAATTGTTAACATCGAGAAAAAAGTTTGAACGAGAGTAAATGTATGTAAACTAACCATTCGGATTGAAAGAGGAGACGTTGGTATAGGGGAACGAGTATTGAAGTCACTGTTACCTACTTTTACATGTAATTGATGTAATGTGGTGGAGAGTGGTGGTGTTGACATAAGACGAACTAACATATCCATCGTTGACACAACAATACGCAAATAGGTAAGAGAAACTATTGCAGTAGTAAAGAACCAACGTGTTCCATAATAATTCATGCCTACATCAAGAGATCGAAGTGCAGGTAGATGAATAAAAATAAAATTTTCTATTAATGCTTCAATGTCACCAATTGGGTATTCGAATTTAAAGGAATAACCATCCTGAAAAAAAAAAGTATATAAAAATGTCGTTGAATTCTGTATGAATCAAAACGAATGCTAATTGAATTGATTTTAGGATTTAAAATAGTTGTTCTTTGATCAATAAATGTGAGTCATCAATGTGAAATTTTTATTCAAATAATCTCTTCAACAATAACTAACATATCTTTTGCAAATCTACGGATTCAAAAAAAAATTTTCCTCAAACAATCTGTTGTAACCTGTGGAATCTTCAGGATCACAAGGAAATTCTCATTCGATTTCATATTGTCCTTGATAGACTACTATTTTGTTCAACATTTTATCTCATAAAAATTTCCAATATTAATAGCCAGCTCTTATTCTTCTGTTAAAATCTTCATGTAGTTAAATCAAGTACATTCATAGTAGATGAGAGTATAGTCAACAGCAAGAACACATTCAATGACACTAATAAAAACCGGTCCATTAAAAGTTTCAAGCAATCTATCATCAAGAACAATGAATTCAGCTAATACATTCTTGACTTTTAGCTTTCAATTTTCGAGCAACATTATTCAGTTTGTTCTTTATCAAACTATATTTTCTTTTCTTTATTGAGAGTTCAAATTATTTGGTAGGATTATTTTCGAACGAACTTTTCATATCATATGAAAAAATTTTTGTATACTAACATCCCAATGAATGATGATCGATTATGACATTTCTATAGCACCATTCAGTTTTTAAATGATATAGATGACTCAGTTACATATGTATGTATCTGCGGTATAGCTGTTAAAAGCCTCAAACTAAGTGCTTTTCTACTGTGTATTTTATTAATTCTGATAATTTCTGTGAATTTAAACTTGTCTGTATTGTCATAGAAGTTTTTTTTTTTTGAAAAGTGACTTCACTTCTACGTATAAATAAAAGAACAATCAACTTATCTTTTATAATATATTTAACATATTTATTTTATTTCTATTCCGATCGAAATATTTTTATAAGAAAAAGTTTATCTTGGACACAATCCATTGATAGTCACAAAATTCTTACTACAGTTGTTTTTTTATTTCGACTCAAGACATTAAGAACCAATTTAACAGAACAACCCTTCAGCATTTTCAATGTTTGCTCCAACAATCTCCTTTCTTTGTAAAGCTTTGGATTTGTTAAAAAGAATTGTTGACACTTACGGGGACCAATCTTTCATTTGATTTGATAATGAGATGAATGAGTGTGGCTGCATGAAGCAAAAGAAAGAGCAAAAGATCATTATGATTGTATACACCAATAATACGCAGAGTTTTCAAACGAGGTAAATAAGGCCAACGAGTTAATTGAAGTGGAGATGCATCACTATCAATTGCAAGTGACTGAATATCATTCAATGGAAGAAAACGAAGAATTCTATTAAATTGATAATTACGTGCAAGTGATAAGTTGATATGATAAAAAAGACCTCGTTCCATGGTTAACATTTTTAGACGATCATTAATATGTGTAAATCCCCAAAGAATATCGAGAGACGATAGATATGAGAACAACTCGATCAATACTAGATCGGGTAAATCGTCGAAACATGTAATCAATGCCATATATATTCATATAAACGATTATTTCTGCATTTTTATAGCTATGCTCTCTTTTTTAGATTCATTGACGGATGTGTTTTTTTTTTCATTTCTTTATATTAACCGTCTGAAAAACAGAAGACAATCTATGTTGAATATGATCGTTACTATAGAGATAGCGACGAATGAATGAATATTCCTTTTTTTTCTGTTGTTTCGTCAGACATATCATTTTCGAAGAGTTGCTTCACAATTGAATGAGAAGTTTATGAAATTAAGATAAAACAAGGAAATGTGTAAACTACAATATTGTGCAAAAATAATTCATCACTTTTTCGTCTCATGTTTTTCTGCTATAAGAATGCGTTCAATAGCCATTAATAGTTTTAAATAACAGTATATTTAGTTGTCTATTAGAGACGTATGATAGAGATCTGAAACGTCGTTTTATTAATTTGGTAGAGTAAGTCGGGGTAAATGTAGACAAAAAATTAATGAGCTCACGAATATTGCCTATAACTTTTTTATGTTTCATTTTTTTGAAAAACTTTCTTCTACAAGACACCTAGCTGAATCTCTCCTCTATCGACTGGTGAAATTCGTTTCTCAAAATCTTGTGAGTATCGCTATCTACAAGGTGTTCTTTGAGAGCTACTTTTCGATTCTACATTCATCACATTTGGGGGGAATGTAGAATCACGCTGGTACTATTGGGGTGAATGTAGAATCTCAGCTATTTTCTACATAATTATTAAAATCTAATTTTTAAGCGTTTAATATAATATTTTTTGGTGATTTTTTCACCAGTTGATAGCCCAAACTCTTTTCTATTGCTCTAAACTAATCTTACGATTATAAGTCAAGACTGTGGTTTTTTTATAGAGCTTGCAAAAAGAGCTCCAAAAAAAAATTTTTTGTCTACATTTACCCCATATGGGGTGAATGTAGAATCACCATTACGCGTGTGGGGTGAATGTAGAATCGCAGCAGATTTTGCTGGACACACTAAAACTCAACTTTTACCAAATCCGTAAGGAATTTTAAGATACTCTCAACAGCAAAATTGTTAAGAATGGTGGGCTTAATCATTCTAAAGCTTTTCAAAAATCGGTTTTAAGTTTCCATATGTACTTGTACTTGTTATATGCAAATGAAAGATCAAATTTAAGCTTGAAATGACGGTTTTTGAACTGAATTTCACCAAAATGACAACTGATTTAATCTTTCACACTCATCAGTGGACGTCAAAGACTATGCTAACATCTCCTTTCGCTATAAATTGCGGATAAACGTGTTTTATTCTAATTAACAACAATTTTTAACTAGATTAATTATTGACTTCATTTGAATTTCATTATGGAAATTCGGTTTTAGTTCAATAATGAAACATACGCAGATTACTATTGTTTAAAAATAGAATTTGTAATGATGAAACCTAGTATCTGATAATAACCTGAGATTTGTAGGTGAAACGAGAGCTATATCATTTGATTAATGATCTATAGGTAACAGAAATTGTTTTGGAAGAAGCTTTTCTGTCGGAAAGTGATTCACTTCTTTGTTATGAAACAAGGATAAATGTATTGGAAGAAGAAGATCATATACATAATTATTGTTTGTCCTGAGTGTCCTTCTTAATAAATTGGAAAGAAATTCGGTTGCATATTTCTAGAGAAGATAAGTTAAAAGAGAATCATAGTTTATGGTTAGTTATTGATAAGACAATACAATGTCGTTAAGACTACTTCTATACTCGATGGATTTTCTTCAGATAAATTTACTATGGGTGTATACACAAAAAATTTTCTTAAGTCTGATCAAGAGTTCGTGCAACATTAAATAAAATATAAAGATAAAGATATATTTTTAATTTAATTTTATAAAATGTCGAGGATAATTGCTATTATTGTTTATACTAAGTTCGATCCTTTCTAACAATCTGTTAAAAATATTTTTCAACTATTTTTCTAAAAAAAAATTTTAGCTACATTGAAAATCACATTAGATAATTACATTTCATTAGTTTTTGAGATTTAGCGAAATTTTGATAGATCATGTCGATTGCGTTCCATCGGTACTAGTGATCATGTGTAGATTTATTATGGATAGTTTAGTCATAAATTATCTCATGCTAGATGGCTTATTAAAGATGAACTGTCAAAAACTATTGCTCACGAAGACAGATTTGAAGCAAAGCTTTGTTTTGTATATTCATTCAATCAAATAGTCCAGAGTCTAGATAAAGGAAGGATCGTAGGAGACAAGTATTATATTGAAAATTATCTGAAGCCTTTTGTTAATGTAATATGGAAACAAACGGAAACGACAGGTTCAAAATGTACAAAACTGCTTGATGGTCATCGTTGACTGCATACTCATCCGATGTTATTGATTATTTGACAGAAAGCATTAATATAAATTCGTGTTCGCCATATTCGCCAGACATAATACGACATAATCTTCGGTTAAGTCATTCTATCAAACGAAGTCTAACTGATTAAATAGATGAAACATGATTAGCTCATATGGTGGTTTCCAAGGTAGCTAAAAATTTTTTTTAGAAAACTAGTTAAAAAAATTCTCTTAGTAAATTGTGTCGAAAGGATTGAACTTGATATAAATAATCATGATAACTATGCTAAACATTTGATAAAATAAAATTGAAAGTATCTCCTTATCTCTATTTTTATTTAATGTTGCACGGACTTTTGATCAGACCTAAGTATAATAATAAACACAGTGAAGTCATGGCATAACTTCTTCTGTTTAGAATTCTACTATGCAATATACTTTATTCTAACTTTGTTGAATCTCTGGACATACATGAAGCAATCAGATGTGTTATTCATGAAAAAATATTCTGGCAATCTAATCTTACTTCAAAAGTGTGCAAAAGCTACTTGCTCCTATTAAATGATTATAACATACTTTGTTTACTCTTGCTCTATCCAGCTCAGCTTGTATATTTCTGTGAACCTAAGATTTTTTGAAAATAAGAATAGTTACATTAAACCAAGATTAATCGAACGATATACGTTTCATTTCAAGAGTAGACCATCTTTGCAATCAAGTCGTTTTTACTCTTATAATAATCCCCCTTACCTCTGGAAACAGTGAAATTAGAAAAAAAAAGACAGAGATTGTCCTAATAATACAAAGAAAAATTATATTAACACTGACTTTGCTCCCACTGATATTTATATCTTTTATTAGATTAATTGTGTATTAATCGATTAACATACTAATCAACACAAAGGGGTCAATCACACTGAAAAAAATAAAACAAGTTAAGCGACATGGTTGATCTATTCCGACTTAAATCGTCTTTTTGAGACGATTTATTCGTTAATTCTGTTTTAATTCACTTTGAATTAGTCGGTGTGATTGGGGCCAAACACGTCTGCTTCATTTGAAAAACTATAAGACAACATTTTATAATTCAGGGAATCTGAATTATCAGTGTAATAAAATCGGTAATTTTTTCGGCAAGATCAAAATCATCCACCATAAGTTATTTTTCCGAGACACAATTAATATGGACTATAGCGCCATCTATAGTCAACGTTGTCTTGATGAAAGAAACTATTATTTAGTAATTAGAAATATATAAATTTTAATTTTATCAGAAACTTGAATAATGTTTAATTGATACTGTTAATAATACTTTACATCATCAAGATAATTCAATAGATACTTGTGATGAAAATCCACGGATTGAACAAAGCCAACATTTTTGTGATATTCTAACAGGTCATAAATATCCAAATTCTCAATCTTATCATATTGCATCATCTGATTTTGTAATTATCGAATTACACGAAATTGCCAATTTTCAAAATGTCAAGTGGTACTAATCGATATAATAATAGTTATTATTCAAGTCGATATAATCCATATTTTCAATCTCAACAAGGTAAATCATTATCTTGTGCTATTATAGATGATGGTTATTTACTTGATAAATTTCATTATTTAGATTCATTTAACAGTTATTATCAAGTAACAACAAGAGAGCAACAATTTTCCAATATGTCAAGTACTAATAATAATCGAAATATTCATTATCGTCAACCAACTGAATATAATTCGGATTTTCAATCTCAACAAGGTAAATCATTACCTTGTGCTATTATAGATAATGATTATTTATTTGATAAATTTGATTATTTAGGTTCATTTAACAATAATTATCAAGTAACAATAAGAGATCAACAATTTCCAAATATATCAAGTAGTAATAATCGAAATATTCCTGATCATTGTTCAAGTGAAATTGTTGATACGGCGATAGTTGGCTATGGTTATCAAAACATGAGTAGCAATCTCATGATACATGTGGACAAGGGACGAGTTTTTAGTATGGTTCACATTGGCGAAAATCGTTTTTTTTTGTTTAACTTGTAATGTTGGTTTGATCAATGGTGATGGATTTGGAACGGTATGTAGATCAGAAGAATCGATATTTAGACTGTCATTCTTTTTTTCTTGACTTATATGGAGTAATCTTAGAAGGAAAGAGTTCATGCAATAGTCAGGCCCATATAAAAATTTTTTCAATAAAAAACATTTAAATTGTAAAGTGTTATCATACTGAATTGTGAAATATAATGATATTGTAAACAACAACAAGAGTTTTGATAATTATTGTATTTAAGCGCTATTTCTACTCGATTAAAATTCAATCGCATTATTTAAAGCATATAATTTTTGCTCATTATAATTTCGTGTTTCCCACTCACTTCTAAAATTCTAATTTAAGGATGAAGCACCTATCGTTGATACAGTATTGAGCAACAATGATACAATTATAATAAATAGTTGTATTATTGTTGTTGTTCTTAAACAGTAATGGTCCATTAATTTGAATTATAATAATTAGACGATCCGTGAAAATCACAGTTATTAGATGGTCATTTGGACCACATTGCAATATAGTTCTTTGTACCATAAATGGTTATTCGTAAATACGATTATATGGTCATTTGTATCACGGTTACCATGGATATTTGAACCATAGTTGTTAGTTGATTGGTTGTGGCACAGTTACTATGGACATTTGGGTCATTGTTATTAAATGGCCATTTGTGCTACAGTTACTATAGGCATTTGAATCATAGTTACTATAATCATTTGTATCGTGGTAACTATGTTTCAAACAGACAGACACATAGATAGACAGATACAGGTGAATTTAGGTTTCTAAACCCTATCCTTTTAGTCTAGGAGACAATTAGCGCACCCAAACAAACATAGCAACTCATTTCTACATCGCGCCTGTTAGTATCCAACAGCAACTGTCTGTAATGGTGGCCTGTCTATAAGGAATGGGGGAGCCCGAAAACTTCGCCTTAAGACTTTCTCGCACATTTTTATGTGGGTTCCACAAAAATGGCAATATATAAGCTATAGCTTACACAGTGATGTATCACTTTAAGGCTATTTTGAGAATAATAGTATTATCAAAATTTTTATCGAAAAACCGATTTGTAAATGTTAAAAATAACATTTTTATAGGTAGATCGACGAGCTCTATCCGCTATGCCAAAAAATCGACAAAAAAGTTTTGCTCAAATTTCGATTTTTCGGCACCTTACATTCGTTACAAATCGGATTAAAATCATGCTCTTTTAACCGAATTAAAATCACAAAAAAATCGATTAAAAAAGTAAATTTAATCTAAAATAATAGATTTTTTGTAATTATTTCAAGAATATTGGTTTCTTATCGATTTTTTAGCATTCATCCGTTGAGACCAATTTCTATCAAAGTAATTACAACAATCAATTAAAAATCTGGTCAAATTCAGATTTAATCGATTACAACAGAAAAATCTATTAAAATCGATTAGATTTTTAATTGATTATTCTGATTTTTTGAGATAAAATTTATTTTAGTTGATTATAGATCAAATCGATTAAAATCGATTATTGTGATTTCTGAAGAGAAAATGGATTTTAATTGATTTTGACGAACAAAATCGATTAAAATCAATTATTGCATCTAATTCAATCGAAAATTGTCACATTTAATCGATTTTAATCTGTTTTTTTTTTTTTCTTTTTTTTTTGATTTTTTTTACTTGGGAAGTCGAGTAAAACAAGTCTAAAAGATAAAACCCGTACAAAACAGATGCCATGTAACTGTATATTTGTTTTAGTTGATGGCTAGAGCCGAGATACGTGGTCGTACTTGTGAATCGTGCAAATCATCTCGAGACAGACGTAAACAACGAAAATTAAAAGCTGAAACACCATCGGTTTGTCATGAAGATGCAGTAAGTTCAACTCCCATTCTGAATTGGTAATGTCAAAGAATCTCGAAAAAAAATCTTGAATACTATATAACGATTGTTATGATATGAAATATTGATTGACACGATATAATTATGAATAAAATACATAAAGATACAGAAAATGATTGACAAAAAAATTAGAGTTCATTTTCTATTGATCACAAAGAATAAGAGTGCTTCAAAATATTGTTTTCGATCAATTTTATCGTTCTCGAATCGATTACTAAGTTTTCAGACGAACTTCAAGAGCCAAAACTACTTGGGTCTTCTTGTTTTGATCTCCACTATTAGAATTTGACATCTATTGTCGAAAGATAACTTCTTTTTTAAGGCTTCTTCTCCTCAAAATCGATCTCAGATCTAGAATCATTCAAATAACCTGAAATTTTCAGGATGTATTGGAGCTGTAGAGGAGAAGCTATGGTAAAATTTTCAGCCATATGCCATGGCGTTTGAGGAAAATATTCACCAAACAAAGGTCAAAAATAGTTCATTTGGCAAACCAAAATTCTCTTTTGACACTCTGAAAATATATTTAAAGTTTTTTTTTGTTCTTCAAGAACATGTCAGGATGCAGCGCTTGCCAGAGCCTTTTTTAAAATTCTTACTCTTTAAGTAGAAAAAAGTGATTACAGTTCAATCACTCGAAAAACCCCCAAAAAATAGCGCTCGATTTATATAACTGTCTGTATATATACTAAGAATAAAGGTTAATTTAAAAAAATGACTCTAGTAGGCACTGCATCTTGACATGCTCTTGAAGAACAAAAAAAAAAAATTAAATATATAGAATGGACGCTGACAGAGAATTCTGGCTTGTCCGATCGAAAAAGCATAAACTGAGAAAAAGCGAAAAAGATTTTCTGTTTTTTCGATAAAAACGCCTGTTTTTCAATCAGAAGATGATAGAAATCATCAAAAATTTTAGCCAAAACAGGAGTGTCGAATGAAAAATCACATCATTTCTAAAAGATCTGAAGACGAGCTATCTTTTCATGCATTTATCTTAATTTCGAATATTTCTGACCAAATTGACTTTCTTTGACGGAGACGGGGGAGGCTTTAAGGATCTCAACAAAGTTTCAAAAGTTTGGATGAGATTTTAAGATTCTTTTGTTGAATCTGCTATGTCATCCTAATACGTGACGTTTAGTGTGACCTCACTTTGCTGACAAATATAATCGTCAATGACAAGAAGGTTTTTTCCTTTATTACTTGTAATAAAGGTGTGAGAAGATTTTTTATTCGATCTTTATCGTGGCATAATCGATGAAATTTAGAATGTAGAAAGAAACAAAATCAAAATCAAATAAATATCCAGAGATAAAGAAGTAGGAATGACGTTGTCTCTCAATCGAATAGAAACAATGATGTTGAATACAACAATGAAAAAAGAGAATGATTTAACTCTACTACCCAGGCAGACAAACTTTTCAGAAAACGCGTTTAAACGCACAGAAATTGGCCTAAAATCCTTAAAAAGTGGTCGTTTTTGGCTCACAATCGCGGTTCCCGACTGTGAGCCAAAAACATCCATTTTTCGCCCTTTTTGTGCGTTTAAACGCGCTTTCAGACAAGAAACGCGTGTACACGCATACAA